CCCTCCACCCAGGGACGCACATACCATAACTGAATGAAAATTCAAATGCTCCAAATCCAAAAAATGGTAGCATGCTCAGAAAAGCAGCAAGTAGCCATGAAACAGCAGCAATTATAAAAGCTTTATTGACAGTCATGTATTTCTTGTATTGAAGGGCTTTCACAATGAAGAAGAATCTATCAAATGACAGTAGGACCAGACTCTCTGTTGCTGTCAATATGCTAAATATGAATATACAGGCAGCAAAATAGCATACACTTTCCTTTTGGCTCACTGTACTACCAAATATCCACTCACCAGTAGCTGTAGTTATGATGGACAGGGGCATCGTAAAAAGAATAACAACGAGATTATTTGCAAGCATGTTAGAAAGAAATACAGTTGTTGGTTGTTTCCAGTTCTTTAAGTGACAGGCAGTCAGTATGAGCACAAATGAGTTAGTAGTGAGTCCTGCTAGCATCTCTATCCCAATCACAGCTGCCAGTAGTGGCCCATTGACATCTTCACTCAGTGTGAAATTATTGTTGATATCATCCATTATTCCGACTATGACCTATGTGAGGTACAACACAGAGTCACTGTTCTCTAAAGTTTATTATCCACTATATCTATGCTATATACAAGGAGTGCTTTCAGTGTTTATAATATATCAGTACAATAACTTCCTAGTGTTCCTTGTTTTATATTAGCATAAATAGAGTAATTGATAAATCATAAACAAACTCTAGACAATAGTGACTCTGTCAATCAGCACTATTTATGTTTAACAATTGAAAAGAACGTTAGATGTAGTACTAATCATCTTTTGCCAGTTGAAAATTAAGAAAAGACAAAATTGCACTTAGATCTAATTAGTATACCCAAACATAATGTCTCTGTTACAATGATGGCATAAAACATAGTTTATGACATCTATACAACTGAAATTGAATTATGCCACTGTAAGTTGAGAAGCTGTTAAAATACATGTATGATCACAGTTTCATTAGTTTTATTTTATAATTAAAGGCAGTCTTTAAAAGGATAAAAGTCACAAGTAAATTTACCTGAAATCAGGCAATCTCATTTATCAATTACAACTATATACAATAGGTATGGTATAAAGTAATTATTACTTTATTACTATTATCTAATATCAATGAATTAATCCTGTTCTAGTGTCATTTCATTAGCCTCTTCTTCTTCAATAAGTAATTTAACTTCATTTTCCGTTCCTCCACCCTCTTCTCTTGTTAATACATCATCAGTAACCTGACCCTCTTCATCAAAGAAGGTGCAGTGAGTATGTCCAGACTGTGTCTCTAATGACAGTGTCTCTGGTGGTGTCTCACCAAGTATAGCTAGGTAATGATAGCGATCAGGATGACCTATGTATAGACGGACAGATTTACGTGCTATCCAACCAGCCAGGTATATAGGAGTGCCAATATTCTAGAGGAGTAATGAATTAGGAAAGAAGGAACGAATAAACTATGTATTACAGATTGGGAAAATTTCACATTACTGTACAAGTAATTGGTGTAAAAAATTCTGTTATGTGCTGTTCTATACTTCTGTTATTATACATGTACATGTAGGTTATAAAAATATTTCCCTAGTTAAAACTTCACTGTTAGCCATTAAAGCAAAATTATTTATCAGCAAAATTTCTCAATTTAGAGTATACATCTATTATAGTGCAATGTGTATCTATAACCTTTCAATATGTACATCCACTCCTTCAGTTTCATCACTTGCCTCAGAGTATACAAATCATAGATAATGGAGTATTTATACTCTAATATCTATGATACAAATATAACAGGCTCTATGATAAAATTTGATGACAATTACAGTATAATCATATCTGGTAATTTTTGGAATTTTGATAGTCATCCATGTAAACCATTATGTATGTGTACATGCTCAATGACACATGGACCCTATTTGTTAAAATAAAACCCACTGATTAATAGTAATCAATTCAAAAAGCAAAATTGTTGTACTCTCATCAAAACTCCATGCAACTGTATTTCAATCACTGACTTACTTTTTGTTCCAAATGATTCAATTAATGATTGTGTACCAGCTGATAACTTAATAAAGGATTAGGATACTTCAATAATGCTATCACATCAGACAATGTCACATGGACAGTATACGGTTGGATATATAAGGAAGCATTGTGTCTATACCCTGCATGGGGAAGAGAGGGAATGAAGAACATGAAGGAAGTGAGCGTTAAAATTACTACAATACTATGATACATGTACATAATCAAACAGAGGCCCAGCCTTTTATTTCTTACTACATTTCATTAATGGCTTCTATTTGAGGATATAGCTATCTAGTATGTTATTGAGTTATTCATGCATGCATACTAGTCAATTATAGATATAACTCAAAAATATTTTGTTGGAGTTACTCAGAAACAAGATGAAACTTCTACACATCATAAGTACATGGGCATGTACATTAATATGCATCAAAAATTTGGGGTCATTTGAAGCCATTTATTGGAAAAAACCATTATAGCCTTTGCTTTTTTCAAGGATGGCTCATTTTTAAAATGCTCATAGCTTGAAAAATATTTGTTGCAATCAGCTCAAACTTCATTTACAGCATACAGAAAAAAATGCAATAAAAATTTTGGGTAATTTTAGAGCCATTTTATGCAATAACCATGGGCTATAATTTTTTTTAAAATTGGTCCATAATCATGACTCAAAATTTTTTTTGGAATCAGCTCAAACTTTTTAAACAGCATAAGGACATCAATATGTATCAGAAAATGTAATAAAAATTTGATGTAATTTTGGAGCCATTTTTCAGAAAAAACCATGGGCTATTATAGTCTTGGTCAATTTTTAAGGTTTAATTGGCCTGTTTATTTAAATCGTCATAACTCAAAAATTTTTCATCAGAATCGGCTCAAATTTTCTACACAGCATAAAGACATCAATATGCATCAGAAAATCTAATAAAATTTGTGATGATTTCAGGGCCATTTTACAAGAAAAACCACAGGCTATATAGATTTTGCTTTTTTCAAAAATTGGCTCATTTTTTAAAATGCTCGAAACTTGAAAAAACTGAAGTTAGAATTGGCTTAAACTTTCTCCATAGTATAAGGACATCAATATAATCAGAAAATTTAATAAAAATTGAGGGCGATTTTGGAGCCATTTTTTGAAAAAAACCATGGGTTGTAGCCTTGCAATGGATATTTTTCAAAATTGGTCTATTTTTAAAATGGTCAGGAATAGGAGGGTCAATGGAGCAGTAGCTGCATCATTTTTCATGTTTTGTATCCTGTTGTTTGAGTGTCGGAATTGGTGTTGCTGCTCATGGCGGAAGGAGTGGATGTGCTACAGTAGTAAATACTAGCTAGTCCTACTAGTACTAGTGCTAGATTAAATAATGTTGCTGCACCACCTCCTCCGTAAAATCAATAACTACCACCAACAGTAGTAAAATGACTGATGTAAAAGTAAAGATTTATGTAGTGGTGCATTGACAGATATGACAAAACCAGGATATCTGTGGGGAATTATTAATTAGAGATATGGCTCCCAAAGTTGTGACAGTAGATCTAGTACCTTATCAAATCTGAAATTTTATCAAAATGTATCATAATTATAAAGAAATTTCTTTTATTTGATACCAAATTTGCCCATAAAACAGTTACAAATGATATTTTACAAACCTTTCTTTTTGTAGTGCAGCATGTAAATAATGCAAGCTAAATGCATAACAATGGAAACCACGTGTATTCACGTAATGTCAACTGGCTTTACAGTTTACTCATATCTTTACTCATATTAATTTACCTCCACTGGCACAGGCACTATCCTCAGTCCAAGGGGTGTTTCCAGCATCAGAAAGGTATAGATTAAAGAGTGCAGGCTACTCCAATGGGTGCATTTGCTATTATACTTTCCTGATAGATTGACTGGGTTAGTGCATGGGTGCATCTTGCCATGATTTGGATGGTCAATTATGGGTGCCAATATAGATCTGCATAATATTACGTACTCTTGATTACCTATTGTGCCAATGCGCCCAAAAATGAACTCCCTGTTTAGTCCATACTCTTCCCAGTTCATAAATTGAGGTTTGTCTCTACAGATATTAAATATCTAAACAGTAGTAATGTGGACATTGTTGTGAATACAACATATTGAATTCTCAATATAAAAAATAAAAAATCTAACAAAATAAGTTAAACTAAGAACTTTAATTACAATGACATTTTAGTTCCAGCCTGAGTTCTAAAAGATACAAAGCATTATTTGATGTTGCAGGGTGCTTGTTTGTGTAACCAAGCAATGTTTCTGTTTTGATCCTATAATGACATTGTTCATAATAGAAAACAATTTAAACAAACATAATTACAGTCAAAAGCGAATATGCAATTTCTACTTGATAAGGCTAGCAACACACAACAGACACATCACAGCTATAGCATTAAGGTAGCAGTTTTGTGAAAGCCATTAATTTAAATAGTGTAAGATGATGTTGTGGCATTTGAAGGTTTTACTGTTTGAGTAGAAGAACTTTGATGGTATGTTTTTTCTTGCTTAATGCTCCTAAAAAAAGTTCGATGACCCTTGACAATAGCGTCCCTTATGTCCCTCCTGAAGAATGATTGCACCAAAGGAATGAGAACAGTCAGAAGTAAAAGGACAACAAAAGCTACAGCATATGCTGCTGACGTTAAAACATCAGTGAAAATTTCGATCAATCCAAATGAAACAATAGGTGCATAGCACAATATGTGTACTATTATCAGCATACCAAATAATCCAATGACTCTCCTCTCTTGAGCTGCATACGGGTTACCTGGGCTTGCTGCAGTTGATATGTTTGTT